AAGTCTTTATTCAAATTTACTTTAACTTTGCAGTTTTACTTTTTTTTTCCTAGATTTATACAGCAAATATATGATTTCTGTATAAATTAGTCTTTTAAGTAACATTCTCCAGATAATAATAATAAGATGAACATTTGTTAAAAACAGATACGTTTGAAAATAAGTTATTCTGGGCTTAAGAATAATAAATTCCCACTTATGACATTAAAATGACGTATCTTATTAGCTAAACTCATTACCAGGTCAATTTTTAGTTTCACTCAAGTTGATCGGAAGTTAATATTAAATTGCGCTTTTATTTCTTTGAAAATCATTACGTAAAATAGTCTGTGTTCGTTTATTTGTAGTTAACTTCAAGCCATTTCACACAATAGTGTCAATTTTGGCACAGATTTTATCAACTAGCTTCTGCCATTCATAAAAATCGCTAAATAGGTTTCGTGAAAAATTATATTCAGCTGTGGCTCCGAATGTTTTTTTGAAACAGAACTACGCAGCTTATTGCAGTTGTATTTTCATTGTAAGGATCGTCGGGACGACTGGTGGTTCGTAAACTTGCCTCAAAATGTCCGGGGGGCGTGGGAGGGTGTTGTATAATTATGAAGAGGAAGATGCGTCATCATAAACCGGAAATAGGAGACCTCAAAAACTCAGTTGCAGAAGCTGGAAGAACATGTATGCAACTCTCATGTGAAAAGTTCTAAACTGTTCGCTAGGCAGTTTTCGAGTCAAGAGATGTATAAGATGTGGTAAATTCCTCCTTTTACTGCATCGTCCACAAGGATGAAAAAGAAAACAATGCTGGTGGTTCGTAGGTCAAAACGTTTCAGTAAAACTAATCTAGAAAATTACTCAAACATTTTACAAGAGGCCCTCGATACCTCCGCAAGAGAGTTTTATGATTTTTGAAGTTAACGTTATTTTTTTTTATCACTAAGTTACATCTCACCAGTTAATATAGTCACTAAAACCACAAATCATTGCAATTGTTCGTTTTAGAACACACTGTTCTTATAAATTTGCGGTATGTTTGTTCTTCTAGTTCCATACGCGGGTGTTTTGAACTGTAAACTGAACCTTTGACAGGCAACGTGTTAACAAAACCCAACATTTTACACGCAACGTGTTAACAAAACCTGTCAACTTTTTATACGCAACATGTTAACAAAACCTATCAACTTTTAACACACAGTATGTTAACATGTCTTTTACTATGCCTAACACTGCCGAGACCCAGCAAACACTGAAACTGGGCGTGGCCTAATGTTTAGTATGCAAACTCTGATTGTGAATCAAAGAGTTCATGGTTCGCGTCCGGTTTCTGCAAAAACCGCACACCGCACTTTTGGGTCGTGGGTGCTCTGTAAGAGTGATGGTCAAATTTCACTGTTTGCCTACACAAGAGTTGACGACGAGTTTCGATAACTGGCTGCCTTCACTCTAGTCTGTCAGTTTAAAATCATGGAAAGCTTTGCGTGAACAGACTTTATATAGCTTTATTTGAAAATTCCGAAACAAGCGAACAATGAACTGAAAATAAAACATAATAAAATCCACCTAAACGTGCCCTCCTGTTACTCAGCGGCAAGTCCGAGTATTTATAACGCTAAAAACTGCTAAAAGCACAGATGGGCCATTGTGTAGCTTTGCGATTAACAACAACAAACAAATAAGCAAACCACCTAAACCTACTTATGCAACTAATTTCCGCACTAATCTCTTCGTGTGACCGCAGCGTGTGCTCGTACTTCCCAGAGATAACGCAAGGAAGACCAACTAGCTAAGCATCCTGAGCACTTAAAGGTCAGTACTACACTTCTGTTTTATGGGATGTAAAACTCTCATAAAACGATATTGAAGCGAGAAGACTACTGCTCGTTTAACACTCAAAGAATTAAAGTAATAGGGTTTTGATTGGCATCTTTTGGTTTTCTTTTTCTTGCTTTGAAACACAAGAAATCGATACCTAATTCGTTACACATTCTTTTAGTGTGTTGTCGAGAGTGTAATAGGTGCAAACATTTCAAGTTGTATCGAAAAAATCCACCTGCGAAAAACTGTGACAATCAGTTGGTCTCCGACCTTAGAAATTAAACTTTCCAAATAGACCTATACTCCAATTATCAGCTTTCACTTCACTAGTGAAGATAAGTGTGTCATAGTTTACAAAATGTATATCACTGCATGACTAACTAGGATAACCAGATTATCAAACCATAAAAATCGGAATACGCTCAGACTTAAAGAACGTAGACCCTACCCTTTTATTTTTTATTTCTGAGGGGGGTGGGGTGGATTATACATCAATTATGTAAAAAATAAATATCACCACCTGAAAAGTATATTCTTACTTACAATATTGTCTCTACAGATATTCTTTGAAAGTGAATGTTGTTGTTGTTTTTTTCGGGGGGGGCGGAAGTTTGTCGTAAAATTCTGTGCAACTTTCATTCATGTTAACCACTGACTTGCTTTATACAAATACTTCATGACTTGAAAATCCAGCATCGGCTGCGAACAATACTAAAATCACATGCTCAGTGGTGTACAATAGTGACATCATGTCGTCTGCTGCAGCCTGCCTTACAGCCAACTTCAAAGAAAAGCAGCAAAAGCCATGCTGAGTCATTCCGGCTGTAGAATGATTCCACTACTCAGTTAAAAATATTCGTATTTGTTGCTTCACGGTTGTCAGAGACTCAATGTACCGAATATAAGCATAAACTACTCGCACATCACTGACAGGCCCCCGTCGGAAGCAGCGTACAACACGAAAGTTGAAACACTATCATATGCTTGTTGTGCTAAAAACCCAGTAAACAGAAGGTTAATCGTACTTCATATGTACTGTTTGTATATACTATTCGTCTTGATGCAAGCCGTGACGTCACAAGCGACATGTTTAGCGCCTACATATTTGACGATGAATTTCCGAACATTCACTACTGCACTGCCGCCACTACAGAGATACGAGAAATAATAATGCTGAAAAACACCCGGTTTTAAAACGTACTTTCGTAGAAGAGTTTAGCGTAAAACCTGAACGCTACGCCCTGTTACCGTATTTTCCGGTGTATAAGACGCACTTTTTTTACCCCAAAATTTGATATACGATATACACAAGCCATGTGTAAATATATTTAAATAGGCATGC